TCAGGGTTATGCTGGCTTCATAGAATGAATTTGGAAGTATCCCTTCCGTTTCTGTATTCTGAAATAATTTGAGTGGTACTGGTGTAAGCTGTTCTCTGAATGTTTGGTAGAATTCTTCAGTGAAGCCAACTTGGCCAGGGCTTTTTTGGGGGGGGATTTTTTCTTTTTTTTTAATTACCTTTTCAGTATCTTCTCTTGTCACAGGTCTGTTCAGGTTCTCAACAGTAATTTGTGATAGTTTGGGTAGGTAGTGTGTTTCTAAAAATTTGTCCATTTCCACTAGATTTTCAAATTTATTGGAGTATAGTTTTTCATAATACTCTGTTATGGTCCTTTTTATTTCAGTTGTGTATGTTGTAATGTACCCCATTTCATTTCTTATTTGGGTCTTCTCTTGTTTTTCTTTTGTCTGTTTGGCTAGTGGTTTGTCAATTTTGTTGATCCTTTCAAAGAATCAACTTTTGGTATTATTGATTCTTTCTATTTTTCTATTCGGTATTTCATTTATTTCTGCTCTGATCTTTATTATTTCCTTTCTTCTGGTGATTGTAGGCCTTCTTTTTCTGTTCTCTTTCTGTTTGAGTCGTGTAGCTAATGTTTTGATTTTTGTCCCTTCTTTTTTTGATGTGTGCCATGTATCTATTGCTATAAATTGACCTCTGAGCACCGCCTTTGCTGTGTTCTAAAGGTTTTGGTATTACGAGTTTTCATTCTCATTTGATTCTAGGAATTTTTTTCATTCCATCTTTGATTTTTTCTATTACCCAGTGGTTTTTAAGCAGGGTGTTATTTAGTTCCCATGTAATTGGTTGTTTTTCCTTGCCCTTCCTGTTGTTAATTTCTACTTTGATGGCTTTGTGATCAGAGAAGATACTTTGTATTATCTCAATATTTTGGATTTTGTTGAGGTTCGCTTTGTGGCCTAAGATGTCGTCTATTCTGGAGAACGTGCCATGTGCGTTGGAAAAGAATGTGTACTTTGCAGGTGTTGGGTGGAGTGTTCTATATATGTCTATGAGTTCAAGTTGTCTGATTGTGGCCTTTAGATCTTCTGTATCTTTGCTGAGTTTCTTTCTAGATGTTCTGTCCTTTACCAAGAGTGGTGTGTTGAAGTCTCCTACTATTATAGAGGAGCTGTCAATTTCTCTTCTCAGTGCTGTTAAAATTTGTTTTATGTATTTTGGAGCCCTGTATTGGATGGATAGATATTTATTATGGTTATGTCTTCGTGATGGATCATCCCTTTAATCATGATATAGTGCCATTCTTTGTCTTTTATGGTGGATTTTGTGTTAAAGTCTGTTTTATCTGAGATTAGTATTCCCACTTCTGCTCTTTTTTGGTGGCTGTTTGATTGATATTTTGTTTTCCATCCTTTGATTTTTAATAAATTTATGTCTTTGTTTCTAAGGTGTGTCTTTTGTAGACAGCATATTGACGGATCCTGTTTTTTAATCCAGTCTGTCACTCTCTGTCTCTTTATGGATGCATTTAGGCCATTATGTTCAGTGTAATTATTGATAGATGTTAAGTTATTGCTGTCATTTTGTAGTGCTTTTTTTTTTTTTTTTGTAGTGCTGACATTTTCTTTGTTCCTCTTTCTCTCCTGTGCTGAATTCCTTTTGTTTGTGTTTTTTTTTTTACCATTTCTTTTGTTTTTGTAGATTTTGTTTTTACTGAGACTTTATGTTTTTCTTCTTTATTTTGATGAGTAGGTTTGTTAACTTTCTTTGTGGTTACCTTGA